TCCACCTTGAGTTGGTTTTTGTGTATATTTCCTACTTCTTATCAAGAGTGGAAATACTACCTGTCCCAGATCAAGGTAGGGACAATAACACACACACACACACACACACACACACACACACACACACACACTCAATCTCACACACACTAGGACCTTCTTTCCTTTAAAAACACAAAGATTCCAAACTAGACATCTAAGGACACACAAGTTAAACAAGTAATATCGGAGCCATGTTGTTAGGTAGAACTAACTTCCAAGGACATTCTGCTTTTGTTTTCATGAAAATCAGTCTTGCTAAATAATAATTGGAAAAGGTGAAGTTGCAGTCAAGACTTAGAAGCCTTTCTGCTGCATAGAAATTCTATCATTTTGCATTTAAAATATAATGTCCACCTTATAATCCTGTCTTGTGACTTTGATTCTCAGCATTTAATAGTAACACCACTGAGGATGAATGTCTCCAATGTATGTATCTGAATACAAGACTGTTTATCTCACAGGCCATTTGATATCCATTATCGTTAAAGTGTTGCTTTTGGTTTGTGGGGTCATCTCCTTTCTTCCCTCTGAGAGCTTCTAATTCTTTTATGTTCTTCTTTGATTATTAGATCAATATCTACCCTTAGCCCCATATTAAATCTTTTACTTAGATAGGTCATTTGCAACTTAATTTATGTTGTTCTTAAGACTTTCATGTTTTCTTCCAGAAAAGACAACCTTGTGTCTCTGTCTCATTTTATTCCTTCACAAAGCAATGGCTTTTCAACCCTATAACCTTACCTCCTACTGCCTTCCAATCCATTCCAACTCATAGTTACCCTGAAGGACAGAGCAGAGCTGCCCTGTAGGGTTTCTAAGACTGTAAATCTTTACAGAAGCCAATGGACTCATCGTTCTCCTACAAGGCAGTCAGAGGTTCCAGTCTCTCACCTTGTCAGATAGCAGCCAAGCTTAGCCACCAGCTCACCAGGACTCTGTAGAGCTTTAACTTCCTGTTGTTGGAAGGTGCCATTAAGTTGGTTCAGACTCAGGCATTTCATGTACTTCACAACAAAGCCCTGCCCAGGCCCACGCCACCCTCACGAGCACTGCCCTGTGTGAACCCATGTGGTAGCCACCACATTAATCCATCACCTGAAGGTCTTCTTCTTTGTTCCCTCACCCTCCACCTTCCCGAGCATGATGTCTTTCTCCAGGAAGATGTTGATTAGTGACCAGATGAAGAATGTTTCTGTGGAATAATCAACTAATCTCAGAAATTACCAAGACACACCAACTTCAAACATTTTTAACAACAGTAATCTGGACAATGACTAGGGAGGACAGAAGGAGAATTGACGCCTTTGAGCTGTGGTGCTGGAGAAGAGTATTGAATGTACCATGGACTGCCAAGAAAACAA